CTGGTGTGCAGTTTTTATATATATTATATAGTATATTATATATTATATATAATATATATATATATATAATTAGACATATATCATAATTATATATATGTAAAAATGCAGATGGTTAATAGTGGCTACTACCATTACCTCTTGGCAAAAAGGTCTGGGATTAAAATCCAAAAGCTGGCCATGGGCTTTCTGTGTGGAGTTTACATGTTCTTTCAGTGTGTGTGTGTGTGTGTGGGTGCGTCCTATCAAAAAAATGCATGTGGGTTAACTGGTGATTCTAAATTGGTTGTGAATGCTAGTGTGAATGGTTAGCACTGCAGTAGATCTGGCTAACCTGTCCAGCCGGTAGTAAACCCCCCCCCCCCCCCCCCTCCTCCTGTGACAGCTGAGAGAGGATAACCATTTCAATACCTTGCTACCCCGCATTGAATAAGCAGAAGGAAATAGATGGGTGGATGGCTGGAAAATGCAAATATGTTAATAAAAAAAAAACATACCCAATGGACCCGCAAAAGGTCAAGTTAGGAAAAGCGAGAACAGCCAGAGGCTGCAGCACGGTGTGGGGCTCAATTTAATTTACCACTCACGCTAACTAAGCGATCACACCACAGTTCCACTACAAATCCAGACGCAAACTTAAACTACACCGCCCCAAGTGTGCACACCGAAGAAGAGTGTGGTACAATCACCAGCACAGTATCTTTCAATGCCAAAAGACATAAAACAATCTATGTATTAAAATTACAGGATAAGTAAAATGCAACTGGATAACAATTAATGACAAGTCCGCATAGTCCAGGCACCTACATGTTTTGGAACGTCTTTAAAATGAGTCTTTCTTGGGGAAACACATCAATCTTGGAGGGCCGTGTTGAGTTTTTGTTTGGGCAACAAAAAAAGTGACTGTTACACCTGATGCATGGTCGCTTGTTGCCCAAGCACCTCCCACTAGCACACCCACTAAGGAATCCCATACACTACATTAGTACAGCCAAAAGAAAAACTGTGGATTGCTCAGATGTAATGAATGGATCCACTGAAAATGAATGAACGCCGATGCCAGGCAAAAAGGAAATTGAATTAACTGCACTTCTCTCACTGAGGGATTCATCATGACGGAAACTGACTTAGGGCGATGAGATGGTCAACAAAGCTTCCTGTTTTTAAAGAAGAATTGCTTTTCAAATGTTTCCATTTAGAGCATTGTCCCGCTAAAGCCTGTACAAGTGCTTGCTTACAGAACACAGCTCCCAGAGCCTGCACAGATAAAAGGTTTTTTAAAATGCACCGTGATTGACAGTTGAGTTTGCAGTGGTTGCAAATGGCAGAGGTAAGCTGTATGTAATTTATTTAACTAAAAATAATAAAAAATAACAAACTGACCTTTTCAATGTAGGAGACTGAATGATGTAAAACCAGCAGCAGTTATGTCTCAGCAATTCTTCTGCTATAAATTTTTTGACTTTTTAGAGGGCTGTGAGGATTATGGCAGTGATGACTTTTCCCAGGAGAAGCTGGGACCCTGTTTACTAGAAGGTTTTAAAATTTCTGTACTTTTAGGTGACAGAAGGAGACATGTGGCCTGGTCAAAACACAGAGAGCTGCACTCTAAAAGATCTTTAAACATAGTAAACATACCTTGTGTGCCACAGACTGCTCCCAAACACGAGGGGACAAGTAATACCTCTAAAACACTTAAGTTGGCTTTATTAAACGTTAGATCTTTAGCTGGGAAAACATTTTTAATTAATGATTTAATCACTGAGCACAGCCTTGATTTTATGTTTTTAACTGAAACTTGGTTGGACCAAAGTAACAGTGGAGCTGTTCTCATCGAGACGACCCCTCCTAACTACAGTTTTATCAGTGAGGCCAGGGTGAGCAGGAGAGGAGGAGGGGTTGCTGTCTTATTTAATGAATCATTTCAATGTAAGCAGCTATCTCCTGGAAGTTTTCAGTCTTTTGAATATGTGGCTTTACAGCTGAAGGCCCCATCCAAAGTTTTCTTAATGTTTACAGGCCTCCCAAATACTGCCACAAGGGGAAATTAGTTTAGCAGCAGGATATAAATAAACAGGATTTCTGGATATCAGCCACCTCCTCTATCTGGGAAAGTCTTAAATTCTCTGACTGGAATCACAGAGTCTTTGCTATACACCACATCAGTGAGTTCATCCAAATCAGAAGTGCTCTTTTGAAACAAGGACCAATCAGTGCAATCAAAACACCCCTGAAGGGCAACACAACTGTCTTTTGTCCAGACATTAGTCCGCTTCACACAGGCCTTCTCCCTCCTAATCACAGATCTGTAAGCAGGGAGGAGATGAATAACATTGTGATCCGAAGAACCTAGCGGCCACAGACTTATATGCCCCCTTAATTGGTCCATAACACAAATCCAGCGTTTTGTTATGCCTTGTAGGACAAGTTAGCCATGTCTCGGTAAGTGCCATCAGACAAGCCTCCCTGTATTCCCGTAGATGAAGCACATTTCCTTGTAATTCATCCGTTTTGTTCCTAAGAGATTGGACATTGGCCAGAATCATAGAAGGCAGAGGAACACGATTCTTCCTCCGAAGTTTTCTTACATGCTGACCCACGCCGCCTTTCTTTCCGCGTTTTCTCAAGCGGCGGGGCTTTCCAAAATTAGTCTTTGACCGGGCAAATAAATCCTCACCAAGAATCACATCTGTCCGAGCATTAGAAGAGTCGTACATAGACAAACAGGACCACTGTAATCCAAGTAGTTCCTTGCGTGTATAAGTGATTGTCAGTGAGAGTGAATGACTCCAGGTGAATATCGCCAACAATAAAACTAAGGTGTAGAAGATCTCCATCTCGGCAAAAAAAAAAAACTTCATAAAAAGTTAAAACCACAGTTAAGAACAGAGTTAAAACAAAGTTAAAAACAAAAAGAACACCAGTAAACACCTGCTGCAGGTCGCCACAAGAGCAGCGCCCCTTTGTGTTGTGTTCTTAATGTTTACAGGCCTCCCAAATACTGCACAGACTTTTTTTTAATGATCTCAGTGAACTGTTGTCTGTGATCTGTGTTGATTTCGACTGTGTAATTATTGTTGGGGATTTTAACATCCATGTGGACAACCCTCAGGACAAAGGGACTAAAGACCTGAGTAACACTCTGGGCAACTTTGGGCTGACTCAGCATGTAACAGAGGCCACACATGATAGAGGACACACTCTTGACCTACTGATCTCCAAGGGCCTGAGCATTTCGAAGGTTACT